ATATATATATATATATATATATATATATATATATATATATATATATATATATATATATAAAATAAAACCAATGTGAATGGATATATGTACAAATAAATATATAACTATATTAGTAAGACCTTTGGTCTCTGGTGTTTTTTTCCTTGTCTGTCATAGAAGAAAACCCATGTGTGGTCCTTGAACACGAGCACCCAGCACACAATAACAGCTGCAGCAGTACCTAATGCTCTTTTGCTGCTATGACAGTGTGATTGAAGATTGGATTTTGTTGACTTTGTGGACTTCGTAAAAATAAACACCAAATCTGAAGCTCTTTCCCTCCCTGAGGATTTTGGACCATGGGGTGAGTCCGAAACCCATGGTAGGTCAGATTAGCTTGTCCCCTAAAAAAAGTGTGACAAGCCGAAGGTCAGAAACTGAGTCAAACTCCTAGATGGGGGGGGGGGGTCCTGTTCTGTGGAAGGCTGGTGTGGGTTTTGGGATGACCTCTCAATCAGACAATAATAAAACAGTGGTTCTGAACTCCAGTCCTAGGGACCCACTGTTATTGACTGATTGAGAAGCTATCCCAAAAACCTAAACTCACACTGGCTGGACATGGAACAGGTCCCCCACTCCTGTGCTAGAGCTTTGTTAGTAGTGGTTTTAGTGTAGTACCCAGATACTCCACCAGAGGATAGTTGTGAGCTGCATATTACGTTCCTCAATCCTCAAGACTCACGTTAAGCTTGTTGAGCTGCTGCTGAGAAGCTCCTGTTTGTCAAAATGGCAGTCTTCGATTGTCTATGTACCAGCCCTGTGTGGGGTACAAATGCCCAGTAGCTGCACACCAGCTTGACACATGGGCAAGGACATCTGTTACTTCGATTTGCTGAACACCCGCTGGCAACTGTGTAACCCCAGCAGCTATAACTGAGTACTGCTAATGTGAGGGCATCTCAGCCACAGCCCCACCGAGAAGAGAGGCCTTGACAGCCAAATTGCTTGCATTGTGCAAAGAGCTGCCATCTTTTGATATACTTTTGTACATTCAGTTGTTTTCCATTTGTACAATCATGAGTTCAGGGACAGAGGAATTATTTTCATATTTCCATCTTGATCTCCTATGAAACATACATACGGTTTAGAGCAAAGCTTGAGGTCAGACATTTTTTCTTTCACCCCATTTTTGGGGCTAAGCGTCCAACAGTGATGCCATTACTCTACCTGCCATAGAATTTTAACCCATGGCCTTCCAGACACCGACTGGTAACCTGCAGATCTACAGGCCACCTCATGAATGTTAAGTATCCAGTGGCAGGATTTACATACCCATTCACCAGGAATCCTACTGACCACTAGGTCATGGGGTTGTCAGATGCTCTGCTGCCTTGTATGGAGAATGCTCCTTGGACCTTCTCAGTCTGAACCGTCTGTGCTGTTAAATAATATTGGTACAGGATTCAAAAAAAGGAAAAAAAAATTTTTTCTGTCCCCCAGCTCCATGTGTTAATTTGTGTTAATTTTTTTCTGCTTATTTCAAGGACAGTTTTTCTTTCATTTTTGTCCTTTCCTTGTGGGACTTGCAGCTGCTGCTTTTTGCCTGTTGTTTTCAGCATTAATTCATATTCATTATCAGAGGTTACATGCACAGTTTTAAAAAGGGAAAAATGCAAGTGTTTATGGCTGTAGGCTGCTTTGTATACAAAGGAGGGCCCACCCCACTTTTTATATAAGGTTGTGAAAATCACCTAACTGCCTATATTTTGCCCCAAAAATGTGGCAAGATGTGGTGAGTGGTGGAAGATTCCCTCCCTCCAAAGTCAGTGGATCATGGCTTTTCCTAACCCGACCGATGTTGAGTGTCATCCATATCCAACACTGTCGCCCTGCTGTGTGGGGCTGTGAAGCGCGTTTGCACTGTGTTGCTTTGGATGCCATGGATACACATTCTCCCAGTTTTATTTTCAGGATGGGAGGATCACTAGGAAGGGGGAAGGGGGACGGTGTTAAAGAAAAAATGGATTTGGGAACAGGAGGGGTGGAGTGATGAAATTGCATGACTATAATTTTCCACAACCTTTTAATAGAATGCTGGTGCCACACTGACATCTGTGTCCTGACTGTAACAGAAGGTCAGCTGCAACAGAGGGGCGGTCCTGACAGGCCTGACATTCACTGGGTATGTCCTCCCTAATCATCACTGCCCAGCTCTGCTCTTCCTCTCCCTGCCGGACGGGTATGTCTCTTTCTCACATGACCCCTCTAGCCCTGGGGCCATCATCCTGTTGTGGCAGGCGATCCTCCTCCAGTCCCTTTCAGTGTTTGTCCAGTGCTGCAGGATTTTTACATTCCCCAGACTGCCAATGTAGGCTCTGCCTCCTCACCTTCCCTTATCTTGTTTCTTGCTTCCTTTGAGCTACCCCATTTATTTTCACTCACCTGTCCCAAACTGCACTCTGTGAGGTTTGTCTCACCCAGGGAGGCCTTAGGGCCATATAGTTGCCCTATAACAGTTTTTGTGGCTTCTGGGTTGACTTGAGGAGAACTGTTCAGCCTGATGCTGCTGTTTTGCTTCATCCCCCATGACGGGATAGCACTGCCATGACTCATTCTGGGATGTATTTCTTGAGTCAGTTGTGCCAGCCCTATCCCTCAGTAACACTCCTGTTTACATACATGAACTGCTTCAACAAGGAGACCAGGGGGGTATTCCAAAAATCAGTTGAGGCAAAAAAATCTGTTAAAATAATATGAACAGGAAGATATTTTTATATTTTGTTTAGTCACTGTCTACTTTGAAAGTTTATTACAAAAATAGCAAAGACAAATGATCGGTTATTTGTGCAGAACATTTCACATGGATGTGATTTAAAGTATTTTACGAGATCAAATAATATTATACAGTAATAAT